TGTGGACGCTGAGTTCAAAGACGACGTAAGGAATATTGCTTGTGGGTGCGATCCAAACTTTGGTGCATTTTGCATTGGTTTTGTCAGTTTTTCTCCAGATTCAAATCCAAGAAGTCCTTGAACAGTCTGATCTCCCTGACCAACACTGTTCTCCCTTAGTGTTCCCAGTTAGCCACCTAGCTAAATACCCCCGACACTTCAATGAAGTTGATAATAATGATGATGATGACAATCCAAATTTCATCTCAGCGGTGATCATCACAGCTTAAATTGTGAACCTTGTAAACTTCACGTACCTATGTCTCGGCTTTCCGTTGTAATTTAAACTTCCCTTCACCATGTTTATCCTGGTGTACACACCCACCATGTCTTCCAGCTGCATTTCTCTTTGTTTCACGCCTTCTTGTCGCTTCTGGTCTTTGGTTTTCAAACGCATAGTTTGTCGTTTGAGAATCTCGCGTTCGACTGCTCGAGGAATAACGGAGCCCTCCTTGGATTGCAGGTTAGGTCGCAAAGCAGGTCTGTTTCCATGATCTCTAGTGCTCTGGGGTGCAAGGGGCCGGCGTATGCTCTTTATCTCACGACAGTCACTCTCAGCTTGCATTCCGCGCGTGGAAGCGAGGCGATGTGTATCACCAGCAATTATGCTTCCCGAAGGGGACAAACCTGTAGAGGATTTGGTAAGGTCAGTTTCAATTCCAATGCTCTTCTCTGTATTCTATGCAGTTCTTGTAAAATTCGTTTTGAGAAATTTTAAGGTCGGATATAGGTCTTTACTAGCGTTCCTGGTTTTGGTACATAGTTATCAAATTGGCTTGGTAATGAGTGCAATTGAATCGTTCGCCATTTGTGCGAACCATAATCTTGGCCCTAAAATTGAGGTATGCCCTTACGCACCAACTGGAATTCTTGCCAACTGATTAAAAAAAAAATAACTAAACAAAAAATCACGTTGGGCGTATCTTCTGCATGGAATAGGAATGAGGAACAAGAAAAAAAAAGGCAACTTCGAATTCCTTACGGCAAAAGGTCACAGAAATAGCTTCTTTAGTTTATCATAGTGAGCTAGTTTGAGGCTCTAGTCTTCCGTAATACCTCGAAATGTTAATCTGTCATAAGCTGCTACTATTCCATTTATTTTCTCCTTTTTCATTTTCTAACCACACTACTGATCAAATCATCCCTGCAGAGAAAGCACGGCTTTTCGAAACATAACATTTCCCGAGGTGAACCGAATGCCTTTAAGTACTACTGAGGCTTTTAAAAATTACACCCGTAATTGCTGGTCTCACACCATTCGGTTTGAGAAATTGACCTGAGCCGTTTCAGTTTAAGTTTTCTCCTTTACCTTCTCTTTGATAATTCAAGTGATATATTATCTGTTGAAGGTTGCTTTTCTCGTCTCTATGTCTCCTCTTACGGATTTCCTCTTCTTCGTTCAACCCTTCAATGGTTCGTAGCAAGGCAGTGTTTTCTCTACGAATCTTCCCATAACATAGCCTTCTTGTTGTGTCAGCGATACTGTCGCTAGGCAGAACATACGCTTGTCTACTGGAAGACATACTCAAACAGCATTGATAAGTTTTGAAAATTTTCGCGTAGATGTACTTCAGTCTTGTCCCATAGAGTGCTAATTTGCTTCATAGAGAGAAGAAAGCGTTTATATTGTGATTGGCCGGTTGAATAGTTGTATGTGTTGTTTTGTGATCTGAACTGAAAGCAGCGCGGAAAGCGAGAAAAGAAATCGCAAAAACACTTTTTAAAAGCGTTTAATTGAAATAATGAAAACACTTCGATCTATTTACATGTATTATAAACGCGTGGATTTTTCAGCTTAAAGGAGTGAATTTTGCAAGCTTTTAGCAACATAAAACACTTTTCAATCTCTGTCACCACTTTTTTCTGAGTAATCCCTCAGGAAATGTGAGTTTAAAACTGATTCTAGAACCGGTTAAGCATAAATACTCGTCTCCATATGCTTTGCGCAAATTGGTCCAGAGAGCCGGGTAAGATTCTTATATACGGCTTGTGGAAATTCCATTATCGCTAATTTAATGAGGTACACAATGTCTCTTTTGTATGTGGATTGAAAGTAGCACTTGAATGGTGTTGGTAAGTGCAAAAATCGACGGGACCCAAACATGCGTAATGGCTGTTTTAAAGTAGCACTCCGATAAAAGGACCCCTGGACTCCGAAGTTTAATATAGACGCGAAAATTTTCAACATGTTTACCACGGAATGGTCATTAGTTACGGGAAAGAGTTATCCATTTCATCATTTCTTTCACTGTCTCACTGAGTAAATTTAAATTTAGAATTAATATAATGGTAACACTTTTGGTAATTAAAGTTAAGTGTTAAGATTAAATTCATGAATATTTCAATTGCATTGTTACTCATCTCCATACATGCAATCATGCAATATATAATATCAGGAAAAACTGTTATGTCGGTAAACATTCAGAACTAAACAAGTAAAGGCTTTTAGCGTGCAACGAGAATATGTCGCCGCCTCTCGCATATTAAGACGGCAGAGAATTCCGCAACAAATCTCCTAGATCTGCCGAGCTTCCGTTGCTTGCGATTTCGTTTATCCTGCTAATTCAATTTCCGATTTTGTGTCGAATGGGTTCAGGTATAGCATTGAAGAAAAACAATTTATTGTAAACAGGGCGCGAGTCAGTCAGATTCCTTAAGCTCAATAATGTAGGTGTAACTTTTATCTATCAGACTAGGCGGGCTTAAAATGTTTCAGTGTTTGGCGTTGGATGCAAATCAGTACATGGGTTTATGGATCGGAAATGGTTTTGGATCATGATTTGGGAAAGATGTTAACAAACTTAACACCCACCGGAATAACTAATTAACCCAAAATCTTTCACTTTTGAGCACGAAAGTCATTTCGCTCAACCGTGCTTCTTATAAAGCGCGAGAGTTTGATTTTTTTCTCAGCACATCACAATGGAACAAGATAAATTGCTTAGTTAGTCTGTTGGTTAAAACCTGACTACAATTTCGTTGAAGAATTTAGTCACCTGAATTATCCATAAAAGACGGCATAGACCGCGTCCACACTTTGCCCAAGAAATTTGAAAACGGAGGTTTCACTCTGAAAACGCGCATCAAATGTTTTCCGTCCACACTACGTAAGCCGGAGAAGTTTGAAAACGCAACAATCACTGGTTATTTTGGATTTGTGTTTCGGGAAAACTCACATGGTAATCGTAACATCGTCGTTTTCGAAAAGTTCCGTCTTTAAAATGGTTTAATCTGGTTTGAAGAAAGTTTTCGAAAAGCTCCGTTTTCGTGAAGAATTAGTGTAGAAATAAACCGTGCAAATAAAGCTGCGTTTTGATATTTCTCTGGCGTATTGTGGACGGAGCCATAGTTTGCATGATGCATTTTCTCTTTGAACCAGTTGCCTATTTACCTGTTTTCTCGTGGCGTAGATTGTACAGAACCCAATGCAGATTCCGTTTGTTATCTTCATATTCTTTTATCCTGGTTTCGCTAGTTTTTTGGAGATCTCTTAATGTGGATTGAAGTGAACCAAATTCGCGTCGATCCTTGCACAAAAATGAGCGCTTTGCAGCGTTTTTCACTCTAAATATATCCACTGATTCCTCTCTGAAGCGACTTTCATTTTCTTTTGTTATCTTCACGCTAAAAACTGTTGATGCACGCATTTTTTGTGCAGCAGAGGTAACGCACAGTTCAATGCTTTCTTTACGTGGCATCGTCACAGTGAGCTGTTTTCGTTTGGTAACAGGTAAATGTAACTAAAATCGAAATTTATTAGCCAAACCACTCAAGATGTTTATTGTTTTCGACTAAATCCCTCGAAATAGCCAAGCCAGCTGTCCTTGATTGATAAACACAGTATTTCTGTAAATTAGGAAAATCGAACATGACAGGAAAAGGTTTCCCTTGTTTTTCAAAACAATTTTGTTTTATTTTTCGTTCTGCATTCTCTGGGAAAGTTTGTAATCATTCT